GCCATTCTCCGCTTCGGGGCAGTCCTCTCCGCTCTGAGGCGGGGCCAGACTGGTAGTCCGGGACACGGAGGGTGCCTCCGCGGCCGAGTAGTCCAACTGGTCAGCGCCGCGGTCATCGCCCTGTGGCATCCAAAGTTGCGGACTAAAGCTGCCGAGCGCCCCCTTCTTCAGTAGGGTGCCACCCGCCTCCGGAAAGTACAAGAGGTGGAAGAGGAGGGAGGTGCAGAGGACAACCATTCCCAGAACGACAAATCCTTGGTCGTAGTCGGAGTTTGCGATGATGGCCTTCGACCCGATCACCGCACCGAGATTGCCGCCTGCGCCAACCATGCCCGCCACCCCGCCGAGGGCGGGCCGCGAGACGTAGGGGACGATGCCGTAGGTGAGGCCCTCCGCCATCTGCACAAAGATGGAGAAGAAGACTATAATGACCATCGTCTCCACGAGCTTGCCTGAGTTGCGCACGCACTCGTCATTGCCATAGTCGCCCACGACAACCTTCTTCAGGTCGGTGGGCAGCTCCTCCAGGGCAGACATGCACAGACCGCTCGTGGCATTAAAGTTGGTGCAGCCGACGCCGGGGTTGTCGATGCTGGTGGAGGCGCACGGCTTGATCCAGGCCGCGTTTCCCCCGAATTCTGGCCAGAGGGTATAGCCAGGCTCGCCTAAGAAGTGGAACGCTGCTGCGTGCTCTTTGCACACCCAGGGCACAAGGGGAAAGCAGGGGAAGGCAAGCGTTATGTCCACGAACGGGTCCAGGTCGACGCGGTCGCACTTTTCTGCGCGCATCCACAGCTTGAGGTTGGCCGCGAGGGTCAGCTTCCCCCCTATCGATTTATGCCCGAGCTCTGTGGTCCTAGAAAGTTGGGCGTAAGGCCGAAAACAGCCGTCGGTGTCCCTTGTCTGGCCGCCTACCACGCAAATTTCGACGCTCCCCGGGAACTTGAATTTCGTCTTTACAGCCTCGAGTTCGACTCCGACTCTGAGGCAGCCACCAGCTTCCCAACACACTGGGTCGTATGCCCAATCCGCGTAGAACGAGCCGCCAATATCCACACTCAAGCTCAGTGCTTTCTTTACACCCAATGAGGCACCAACGGATAGCTCGGGTTTCATGTAGCATAAGCCAGCGTCGCCTGCACCGAGTTCGAGGCCAAAGCCAAGGCTTCCCGTCAGACCTGGCTTGACTGGGAAGTCAACTGAAGCGCTAAACTCCATATTCGGTGCCGGTTCGTTCTCAAGTTTGCAGCAGGCGTAGTCCCCAGTCCCAGTTGCATATTCCACGTTCAGAGGGCCGAAGCTGCCCCCCTTGATCTCCCCCCCCCGGAGACTGCGGCGGTTTTCCGCGGCGGAGGCCGTGAGGCGCTCCAGGACCTGGGCACCGAGCAGGTAGGGGCTCACGTCCGGTTGCGCGTCCTTCAACTCCCGCAGCATCACCGTGTAGTCGAAGTACAGGCCGACGGGTAGGTCTGAAATGTCCACGTGGCGTGGTGCGAGAGGCTCCTTGTTGCCAAGCTTCGCCATCAATGCGCCATAGTCGGAGCCGGGAAGCGGGTTGCTCGTCAGAAGCGCGTGGAGAGGATCGACCGCCTTCTGCCCGTTCCTGTAATCGTTATCGACGCAGCCCGAGGGCCCACACAGCATGCTAAGCTCGTCGCTTTCCAACGCAAAGAACCGCTCAAACGGCTCTCCGAGCTGATAGAAAATGGAAGGCTTCTGGAAGGCCGCGTGACCGACGAGATCGTCAAAGTTCACCGACGCGTCCATCCTGTCGATGCGCCAGATTTGCTCAAAGTCGTTTGTGGGACGGTAGAGCAGCTCGATCCGCACAGGAAGGTAGGCGCCGTCAGGTCCAGTCGGTGCGTCGTAGAATTGCCAGAGGTAGTCCGCCTGCGCCTCCGGCGAAGTCAGCGTCCATTTCCGAACAGGCATCGAATAGCCGGGAATCGTCACTTCCCCGCGGTACGAGCTGGTTGAGTCGTGCCCCAGCGGCGACATGGGTTCGCCGTCCTCTTCCAACTTCACATCCTGGCAGTAGTAGCCGGTGTTGTTGATTGTTGCTGATCGAGA